GAATTATATGTTTGTATGTGTTGTAGGTTGAATCGAATGTGTCGAATCACCGATTCGAATCCTGAATTTGCAAACTTTACATTGATATTTTGAATGTTTCAAGTTCCGGTATCTATTTTTGTTGCTGTTGTTGTTTTCATTTATTTCTCAACCTAATTTGAGAAAAAAACCATAAACAAATAATAATAATAAAACATTCCAAATTAGCTTAGAAAAAAATTTTCGGTTTTTTTTTCTGTTCTGTTTTAAATCGAACCAAATAGAAAAATGACCATAGGGCTATCAATGCCATATTTTTTTCTGATCCATAATCATAATTCTTTTTTTCTTCGCTATTGTTTTCAAAATGGAATGCTCCTGTTGAAATTGACCATATTAAAACAAGAGAACAAAAACAAATCGCCTTAAGAGCCAGAAAATTATTACTGATGGTTACCCTTACCACCATAAATTGATCATATTTGCAAAAAAATTAAATATATTTAAGGTGTAAATTGTGTGATGACCTCAAACCGAAAGTGTCAAACCCATTTACTACCTTAAATACCGCGAACATATGTGGTCATAATTTTCATTTTTTTGTGGCCAGAATAAAAACAATCATAATCCGATGAACAAAAAAAAAATTCGTCTCTTTTTTTCTTCAAATTTAGCCGATCATATGACATTCATTAGTAGACGAAAGATAGAAAATGAAATTTTTGACTTGAAAAGTTAAGAATAAAAAAAAATTTGTCGCCATCGACAATTGTATAGGTGTATATGACGAGATAGCGAGAAGAAAAAAGGCTAACTATCACAGTCGTTAACTAAATTATCACATAAATTCTCAGTTTATGCCATAAAATAAACAAAAGAAAAATGTGAAAAGTCGATGGAATGTAGAAAAAATTTATTATTAGCCATACATATGTATCATATATTTCATATTCATAAATGTTTGTGTGGTTGACCTTTTTGTATCGATCAAGATTAAAATGTATCTTTTGAATTTTTTTTATTCTCTTTTCTCTAATAGAATTTTCTTTGTCACATTTGGACAGTCTTTGTCGAAATATTTCTTTTTTATCGATGATATCTTTTTCGAATTGTTGATGAATATTTTTGAAAAAAACTTTGTTTTCATAATATGACTGAAACCATAATTTTTTAATGAATTTTTTTTTTTGGTTTTCACGTTCTTTTTCTCCTAATTATGGTCATTTTCTTTATTTTTTTCGTGATTCATTATTGAAAATGGAAATTTCACCGCTATAAAGCAACAGGTTTTTTTTACCAAACATACCAATCAAATCTTTTGATCAGATTTTAATCCTTTTTATTCGTGTCGATCGTTTAAATCGTTTTTTTAGCATGTGTTAAAAGGATTTTATAACGAAAAACAACAATCTTTTTTCTCATGGTCACCACAACCATTGATTACAACTGATGTTTTTTCCAATATATGTAATCAGTAGTAAGTAGTTTCCATCTTTTACATCATCATCATCATTTGCATTTACATCCGTCATTTTTTTCTGCATAAAAATTGAATCGAATCAATTCATTATCATTTTCAATTTCATTTCATTATTCTTATGTTTTTTGATTCATGGTGGATCAAATCAATGTCGATTGATTTTATTTTTTTCTCTTCGGCTACTTTTGCTTTTCTGCTTGTTATACAAAATAATAATAATAATAATAATAATGAAGGAATAATGATTCTTTATTATGTTTGATGATGATGATCATCATCATTGAATGTATCAATGTATATTGGTGAAAGTTGTTTACTATTTATACATTAATGACGATCATATGTACAAAATTGCCGAAAGCTATTTCAACTTTTTGTTCAGAAAAATAAAAAAATCCATTGCTTATTGTTGATCATTATGATGATGTCATCCAGTGTTGTTGTTTTTTTTTTGAATTAATTAGATTATATTTTTTTAAATGTTTGCTTAATAATTCCAGAAAATGTCCTTGATATAACCAGACTGATTGAATTTACCCTTAACAACAACAATAATAACGATGAAATGAACGATACAGACAAATCTTTTCCTGTCAGAAACAAATTGATGAATTGGATTTCAATATATATGGATTAATTGGATAATAATAATTTAACGCTTAAGGGTTAATTAATTAAATTTTCATTTTTTTACAGTTTTTGATTGATTTATGTTTTTTTTATCAATGTTTAAATTTAAATTTTAATAATTTTTTTCTCGGATACCGTTTGTAATTGATTTTTGTTTTCTCTTGTCTTTTTGAAAACACATTCAATTAAGTGTGTGTGTGCGTGTTTGTAAGGCTGAATCGATACAAAATCAATCGCTATTGATTTGTTCGATTAAGATGTTTTAAGGTTTGGTTTCCCCGATGATGATGAGTTTTTCTGCTATTTTCAATTTGATTGGCTACCTTGATTTTTTTGGCCATCATATCGATTCAAATTATTTGATTTTGACTATCATCAATTCGATTTCAATCATATTGATTGAAAAATCATTAAAAATACAATTTCATACTGTTTAGCTACACATCAATGTTTGTCTGTGTGAACGTTGAAGAGCTAGCTGATTGGAGGTAGTTGATAAATTGAAATACTTTTTTTTGGATGATTCTCATTCATTTTCACTCTCTCTTTTTTTTCTTTTCAAGTTGTTGTATTATTTTCTTTTGTCTTTTCCATTGACAACGATAGAAATGTTTACATTAATTGAATTTTTCTTGAATGTAAACGAAAAAAGAAAACAAAACAAAAAAACAAAACAAAACATAAAGAGAAATTTCAATGTCAACAAAGAATGACCAGCTAAATTAAATTTCAATTTCAATTTTTTTTCTCTTTTGTTTCATACAAAAAATTATTACCAATTTGTCATTGATAAATTCATCATCATCATCATAACGGTTGATTCTGATTGGTTGGGATCAAAGATACCATAAAAAATTGATGATCATCATCATAATCATCAATTTTAGATGAATTTTTTTCCTATCAAATTATTATTATAATGATCATATATAAATAAGAATGATCAGATTGATCACCCGTTATTTTTTTATTTGTTGTATATGGAATCACTTTAAAAATATTGTTCTTTTGTTCATTCTTTTTTGCCAGTTTTTTTGGAACCGTAAGTTTATGTTCTCTTTTTCAATATATTTTCTGCTCGATATTTTTATCATCATCATCATTATAGATGATGATGTTCATCAATTTAACAATAGATCATAACAATTATTCGATGACCAAGGGCAAAACAACAACAACAACAACAAAAAACCTTTAATTTTTCGAAATTAAAAATATAATCGCATTATATAGACTAAATAATAATGCGATATATGAATTTGTTCTATATTCTAATTCAATTTCATTCATTTTTATTTGTTTTGTGTTATTCGTCATTACCGAAATGCCATTGATTTCGAATTATCATCATCAATATCGTTGAAATTTCATTATATTCATGATGATGATTCGATGTAAACAAATAAAAGAAGAGAAATTTCATTTTTTCTCTCCTTTTTTTCATTCGGTAGCTTATCGATGTTGTTATTGATAAAAATGAACACCAAAATCAAAAAAAAAATTGTTGTTTGATTCAACTATTTGAGCAATCGATTCGATTTTGATTTTGATTTGGGATTTTTTTCCAATTTTCCCTGCCACTATTTTGACCCATTCATTCTTATATCAATCAAATAATCGATTTGTATTGTTTATCTACAATTTGATCACATTTTTCTATCATCTGTTCATTTTTTTTCGTTCATTCCGTTTATTGATCTGATCCAATCTCATCGATATGAAATCAAACTAAAAGACCATTATGTTTATTCGATGATGATGGTCAATTGTTTAAATCATATCGTTTTGGGATCTTATTGAATCATTTTGAAGATATTATAGAATTTTCTTCTTTTTTTTTACTTGATGATTTTTTCTGGATTTTGTTGTTCATTGTTGATCTAATTGATCATTCTTTATATAATTTTTTTTGTCATTACATTACATATCAATATCAATATGATGTGTACATTCGATATAATACGTTGACCTAGATTCTATTTTGCTGTTGTTGTTACTGTTGTTCATTTTAAATCAATTGAATTTTTTGTTGATTTTTTTGTAAAAGCATCAATTTCAACTCTTTATCGTAAATTGATGTCATTCGATCATCAAATGCTTGTATTGAAGTTTTGTTGATTGTACATTTTCTCAACAAAAAAAAAAATTTTCTTGCCTAAATCCATCTTGATTATGAAATAAATGAATCAATAATGATAATGATGAAAGAATCCATATATCTTTCATTTGCGATTCAATTTTTTGTTTTGTTCATCGTTTGTTCAAAACACGAAAATTTTTTCTTATTTAATATTTACTTATGTTCAATGTGATAATACATAATCGAACCAGAAAAACAGATCAAATGATGAAGAAGATTTTACCGATCATCAACCAGACCAAGATATACTCTTTAAAGATATATATCTTATTAGGACAAACAGACAAAAAAAATTGACAAAAATAAAGATCGCATTACTTTTTTTTCTATTTATTTTGATTTATGTTTCAATGATACCATATGCTCTAATTTGATTATTACTAATAAAATCATATCAACATTCAATTACTGATATTGTCCAGTGATATGATGAAATGTAAATCATATCGATCGATCGATCAATCAATCAATTCATATTTTTTTGTTGATCACGATCCATATCATCTTAAAACTCTTTGATTACATTATTTGCACTAATTTTGAAAATTATATAAATTAATTACAATTTTTTTTCCTGTTTCATTTTTTCCAAAATTCTAGATTTAAAATTATTTCTCATCTTTTTCGTCCCATAAACAAACTGTGATTTTTTACGCCTTGATTTGGAAAAACATATTTTTTTTTGTCTCACTCTCTTCGTATCATCGTTGTTCATACATGTTCGAAATCAAAAGTCAACTTTATTGTTAAACTAATCATCAAACCGTATTATTGAATAGAAAAAAAAAGAAAATAATCATCATCGAGAAAAAAAATTCTATTTTTATTCTTAAGCTGTTTGATAATCGATTAATAATCCGAATAGATGAAACCAACATCTATGAATGAAACCGATCGTCTTATCATGAATCAATTGTGTAAAGTATGCGGTGAACCTGCCGCTGGTTATCATTTTGGTGCATTCACCTGCGAAGGATGCAAGGTATGTTTGAATTTATTTTTTTTGTTATTTCATATTTTGGATTTTATTTATTTGCTATAACTTAAATTGTTTTTTCTCTCTCTTTTTCTCTTGTTCTTTTTCGATTTTAATCGGATTCTTTTTTTTTCAACGTTCACCAAAACAACAACAACAAAATCTTTCCCATTACATTATGACAAAGTGTGTCTGTCACGCTTCTTATTCAATATTTTTTTTATTTGAAAAAAAATAAATCTCACAGGTGCTACTTCACTTGTATGCACGCTTTCATGCACAAAGTTGTCATTTGTCTTTTGATAGAATTTTGATATCGATATTTTATATAAGGATATTCTGAGTTTTTTCATTTTAGACTGAGATAACAATGATTAATAAGTTGAATTTGGTGCTAAAAATTGATTTCAAATATTTCAACAACTTTAATCTTTATAATTATCGCCATTATCATTATCATTTTTTTATTCGACATTAAAAATCAAATCCTCAGATTTATCATAAATCATTTTTTTCCCGATACGACATTGATATTTTAAGCTATTGTCTTTTTTTTCGTTCATTTTCCTGATCTTGATAAGGTTTTATTCAAAAATTATACTGAGTTTATACATAGATATCGTAATGCATCAGCTTCAGATTAATTTTTATTATTATTACTGAAACCAACAAAATCAATCCATCAATAACTGACTAATCATAATATTTCATATTTTTTGGAAAATGATTTTGATATATAGAAAGGATTGGTTTGTCATTTCCCACCTTCTTCAATATACACACCGTAAAGTTGTTTATCTTTTATCATTCATTCATTTTGTTGTCGTTGTTGTTACCTTTATCAGATTTGTTCAGGGTTTCTTCCTTGAATGTAAATCAACATTGATTGAATGGCTGATTTTTCCTTTTTTTTCAAAGCGATGCCTCAACCATATCACCAATCACGATTGTTGATGTCGATTTCTTTCTCAACACTAACAATAATCTTTGTATGATTTTGTTTGTTTTCATTATTATTATTTATAATTGATTAATTGTATATCTGATAATCAAATTGAAAGAATGGGAGCGAATCACTTCTCTTTTTTGTTTGTTTGATTGTCTATGACCAACACCATTCGGTCATAAGATGTAAACCAAATTCATAGAAATCAAATAAATCAATAATAGAAGATTTCATTTGTTGCTTCGTCTTTTCATGTATTGTGTATGAAATGATGATCATATTTCGATATAAATTATCAATCATTCTATTCTTTCGAATCATCATCATTATTATTATTTGACTTTGATCTATTTGTTTTCGCATTTCTTTAACAAAAAAAATAATTCAATCATCTTTTTTTTGTCTGCCAATGGATTGAAATAGATAACATAATCTAGATCTATTTATCAATTTGTCCATGGTTTGTTTTTTCGAAATTATTCTTGTTTGTCAGTTCACTTGCTTGTCATTATTGGATTAGTCTTTTTTTAACTACATTCCTATGGGGTTTTAGTTAGAATATCAAAACAGGATTGATTATTGATTAATATTTTGCTGTTAAACTTTCAATTATTTTTTTTCTTTACAGATTGAAATCAAAACAATTATGATTATCCGAATTGAATTTCTTTTGTTGTCTCATTCAATCTTGCTGACAGATTTGGGAGAGTCAAATTACATAGACAAACAGAGATACATTTAATTATTGTTTGATCCAATTTTGTCTAAGGGTTTTGTAATCATAATTCATAAGTGAATTTGATTGAAGATTTCAATTAATTTTATTTTTATTCAAATCATTCAAATTTTATTTCATTTTTCCCTTTTCTATCTTTTTCATTGATTTGTTATGTGTCATAATTTTTTTTTTACAATTACATCAATTCAATTATATTGTTCAAATCAATCATTTCATTTCATCGTAATTAATATTGTTTCATCGATACCAATATACCGATAATTTTTGTCATAATATTTGTCGCTGTCCCAATTTATCAATATCGAATGTGCTATTTTTCATTAATGTTAATAATTGTTTTGGAAAACATTTATTTAGTTTGGTTTTGTTTTTTTATTATTAAAAAAACATATAATTCCATAGTGATATGTATTCCATGTCTAATCTGGTTCATCATTTTATGTGACTTATTTTCATTTATATAAATTTTTTTTTTGTTTCAATAATAATTTTGTTGTTGATGTTACTAATTTCTATTTTTTTACATATATTAATTGTACGTGTGATCGTTATGGTTGTTTTACGAATGCAAACAAAAAAAAAACAAAGTGAAAAAGAAATTCCAATAGCCTAGATACCAGCAGTTTTTTCACTCTGTTTTCCATTTAATTCATTCATTCATTCATTCCATTTTATGGTTGAATAAAATAATGAGAATAATGTAATTTTTTTACATTCATATGTGTTTGTGATTGAGATTCGTGATTTAGATTAATTGATGCGAATTATCCACCCAAATTGGTTTCTGTGTGTGTGTGTGTGTGTGTGTTTTGGGTATTTTGGTTTTTCTGGTTTATTTTGTATATATTCAACTCTATCATTGCAAACATAATGTATTCAATTTTAAATTGTTTTGAATATTTATAATGATTATTATCAGTATGGATCTTTATATTTCCGGTATCTTTCATTATAAAGTTTTTGATTATTATACATAGAATTGATAGATTTTTTCTTTAAGAATTTTTCATTTCGATTATGTTTTCAAGGATAAATTTTTTTCAACAAAAAATCAAAATTCATAACTAATTTGTTATCATTCAATCAATCATTTTTATCCATAATGGATATATCAATAAATTGTATTGAATTACACAATCAAAAAAAAATTTCCAAGAAAAAAACAATTTCATTTTCAATTAATGAATATGAACAAGAAAAGAAAAAAAAACTTTTAGCCTTTATCCACAACAAACAACTAAAACATATTTTAACAATGGTTTTTATAATGGGGGAAAAAAAGATTAGATGAAAATCAAAATTAAATTAACGAATTTTCATTTCTTTATTATCCCTCTCTCTCTCTCTTTCGATCGATTCAAAATAGTAAATATAGACAAAATATCACTAATCATTATCATCACGATTTAACCTTGATTTGTCATCATCAAACAAACATCCATAGTGCACCATCATGAAATACAATAATTTTTTTTCTTTCTCTCTGTTCTTTTTCGAGATAGAAAATCCATATAATCATGTGGATTGTGTGATGTTGTTGTTTTTCATCATTTGTGGTAGAATAATGATTTTTTTCAATTTCCATTTTAACAAAAATTTCTTTCCTGTTTCCTTTCACGATTTCATCTTTTTAGCCAATAATAATAATGATGATGATGATGATCAGAGAAATCCACTTGAACATTCATTCAATTGATGTTTTTTTTCATTGTCATTGATGATTTCGATTAGTTCCCTCATTTTTCCCACATTGATTTAGTTTTTTTGTTTTGTCCATACATAGATTTATTTCTTAGTTGATTTCTTTTGTTTTTCAATTCAATTCGATTTACCTGACGATTCATGACGTCAAAACAAAATAGAAATCATCTGATTCAAATTCGTAAATCAAAAAAGTTTTTCTTTTCATGGACAGCTCAGCATATTTGTTTTCGATTTCGATCAATTCAATTCGATGATCAATTATCTTCTGGTTTCGATATTTTTTTTGCACTTTTATTTTCAAAGTCTCAAATGACTTTAGGATTAATTTTCTCCTCGAAACAGGGTAAATTCTTTGTTACTTTGCATACAATGAATTATCGATGACAAAATTCAGTTTAAAAGAACATAAAGACGACAGGTTCAGATACATAGTTGAGCTATTTTTTTTGTTGCTAAATTTCGTTTTTTAAATATTTATGATTTTTTTTCTGTTCTGTATATGAATACTAAATCAATGTTTGTTTTTGATTCGATGAAATGAAAAAAAGGAAAGTTCTCAAGGTTAATGATTTCTCCTCAGCTTTAACACCATGCAGGTAAACAAGCAGGCAAGGTGTAGAGAGATTTTCATTTTTGTTTTTATTTAGTTTGTATATTCATGCGTTGCGTTTTTTTGTTTTCATCAATTCTTCTTTTGCTCTATTGTTTCGCATATATTCGGTATCATCCGTCGGCCATTGTCACACTGACTGACTTATGATTTTTTCTTTTGAATTTTTCTTCGCTGTTGTTGCCATATTATTATTGCACTTGGTAATCGTCTTAACCTATTGGATGATGATGATTTTGTTGCTGAAACGAAACTATCTTTTTGATATTTTTTTCGATTTTTGTTGTTGTTTATTGTGGTTTTTATTTCAAAACCGAATAGATGAAATGTCCTTACATGATCTCAAAGAAAAATAATCAGAGAATTACAGATTTAAATTCCAAGTTCATAAATTTTTCAACCCGAATTTAAAATGATTATCATTCTTAATTGAATATAACTCATAAGTTTTTTTCTCTCTTTGTTGATTGATAAATTAATTTACAAGATGTTCATCCATCATTTTAATCATTTCATTTGAAAAACATTTTAAAATATAGTCATTAAATTTTTTACCGTTCTTTGATGTTTAAGTGCATTTCTTTTCTCGGTGCACAGATTTTAATATTCGAATGATCTAATTTTTTCCATATTCTTAACTATTTAGATCCTGAAAATGGATTGATCATCATCATCATAATTTTGCTTATCAATATAATCTTTTTTATGTATAATGATAATTTGTTAATGATTTTTTTTCATCATTATTTATTTTAAATGAAAAAATTCATATTTATTAACCAAGATTTATTGAAAAAAATGATGATTAATTTGTTATTTTGTTCGCATAAAACTGACAAAAATAAAATCTTTAAAAAAATTAATGAAAGATATCATACGAACACACCGGTGATGAAAGACTGTAACAAAAATTTTTTGGAAAAAGAAGATGGCAACATGTTTTTCCAAATTGTTTCAAATTCATTTGATTTCCGAGCAAAAAAAAACGCGTACGCACACTTGCACGA